CTTCGGCTTCACGGCATGGCCGTGTCGCGCCTCCGACGCAAGGGGACGTCTACCCAGCCTTAACCTCGCGCTGGCACCACCGCCCTGGTCTCGCCGTAACCCTTTCGCCCCGAGCCTTCCCCTTCCCCTTCCCTTCCTCCCATCCACCCTGGGGATTTGCCCTCAGCCCCCCATAACTCGGCTGGTTCAGGGGGTGCACCCCGAGTTGTGGAAGAGCCAAGGGCTTTGCCACGGGGCCACCCACGTCTGATGCCCTCCCTGCTTCTCCGGGTACCGATGACCCATCGTTTCTCACCTGCATCCATCCTTCCTTACAGCATCGCGTCCAGCCGAGGGCATTCCTCATCCTAAAAACTTCAGGATAAGCCACAAACCCACAATTCGGCACAAATTCACCTTGCGCTGCCCCTTTTTTCAGGCGTGGTCCCCTCCAAGGCCAGCTTCTCCATGCACAGCATCCTGGTGAACCACTTCCTCCGTGGTGCGTGGTACCCCAAAGGGGGGGGCGGGGAAATCGCCTTCCACACCATTCCCGTTATCCGGAGAGCCGGAGGCAACGTACTGGGAAGGGCACCGGTGCAGAGGATCCTGCTGGACTCCCAGGGCAAAGCCTGCGGTGAGCGCTGGCACGGGATGGGGCACGCGTGGCTTCTCCCCACCGCGGCATTGCTTTTAACTGGACCCATTCCTCCCCCGTCGCCTTTCCCTTCCAGGCGTGAGTGTCAAGAAAGGCCAAGATTTGGTGAACATCTTCACTCCTGTTATCATTTCGGATGCTGGGATCTTCAACACTTACGAACGGCTCCTGCCGGCGGAGGCGCGGGCGCTGCCTGGTAAAACACGGCAGCGTTGGGCTTCGTTGGGGTTACGGCACTGGTCCCCCTCTGAGCCACATCAAAAAGCGGCTTCGTTATAATCATTTCTTAGACACCAGCAAAACCCCGTTCTTTATGTCGCGGCGTTCAGAACACCACCCCTGGCCATACGTTTCTTTGCAGGTTTTTTAATCAAGCCTAAATTAATTTGCCAAAACTGGCCATACAGTTGGCAAAGCCCTGGTTTGCTGCTCGGTTCCCCTAAAAAGCACAGCGTAGTGCCCCAAAACTTGTGAAAGTTGGTGAAATGTCCACTTAAAGTTGGGTTTAGCGCTGCCACAAAATCTTTTTGCTGCTTTGGAAGGGGCACGGGTGGGTGGACGGGGGCACGGGTGGGTGGGAGCTTTCCGGGCAGCCACATGGTCCTGATCTACAACCATTCAACGTTTGCAGAGCAGGAGCGCATTTGACTCCAAGAAGGTCACTAAACCCAGCAAAAGCTCAAGCCGAGGGCACCCCAAAGCATCCCCTACAGGAAATCGCAGCGCTGCTGCCTTCCTTACAGTTCGCAGGAGTTGCCATCCCACCCCTTGAGCACACACGGGTTGTTTCGAGATAAATCAGTTTTACGAGCCAACGTGGGAGCAATGTAGATAGGAGTGGGGCTTCTTCTTGGAGAAGCCACTTCTCTGTAGCTGAGGGTCCCAGAAAATACTGATTTTCCCCTTCTTCCCTTCGTATCACAGAGATCCAGTCTCAGCTTCGCATGGTGACACATGGCGAAGGGGCTTTCACCGTTTTCGTAGGACTTAATGGCTCAAGGGAAGAGCTGGGGCTGGAGCCCACCAACTACTTCATGTACCTAGGAAATGACCTGGATGAAATGTAGGTTTGGCTTCACCTTAAACGTGCTTTGTTAAGCGTAAGGAGATGAATTCCTGGGTGGTGACTCAGAGAATGCTCTTGGCAGATCCTCGCTGCATGGGGATTCGGACGTAGCAAGTATTCACGGAAAGGTTTGCGTCAAAACCCACCTCAAACCCTCGTATCTCCCTGCAGAACCAATCGCTACCTGGCTTCTTCCAGAGAAGAAGCTGCCAAGAACATCCCTCTCCTGTTTGTCACCTGCCCGTCAGCCAAGGACCCCACCTGGGAGATGAGGCACCCAGGTAAAGGCTGAAGCCCAACCACACATGCTTGGGAGGGGCTTGAAAACTCTTGTTGGGTTTTGATTCGTTTGATGAACTGCAAACGAGGAGTTTCTCCTAAAATAGCCATGGTCAAAGCTGCCCAACAGGTTGCTCATGAAAAGTGGTCTTCAGGATAACTGGATGA